CTGAATGAATCAATAAAATAATAATCATTAGTTACTTATGTACACTTAAGTCAGCGCATAAAATTTTTTCATAACTACCTTCTTTGGTCTTCAAGACGACTGCGATTGAAAGGATTAGTTCGACATGTTGGGAAAAACACTTATTCACGTTCTTGCAGAAGGTTAAATTAAGAATAAGATAAATAGGCTACCACTTTCACGTCTCTACGCTAAATATGTAGCTGGATTCAGCCAGTTAGCTTAGCTTAGCATGAAGGGGGGGGGGGGGGGATTTGTACAGGGATTTGTACAGGATTTGTAGCTCGGTCTCTTTTTTTTTGGGCCGGGAGCAGTTGCCAGGCAACCAGAGGAAATTCCAGAAGTTCCAGGGAGTTACTGTATTTCTTTTAAAGCTGTAACATTGCAGTCACGTGCATGGTTGTCTAATCGTTCATCTCCGAATGTCCTTGTTCCTTGTCCTATGTTCCTATGCTACAGAGAACATCCCTCCTATGCAGAGCATCTCCAGTGGTCTGAAAGAGAGCATAAACCCAGGTGACATGGTACAAGATGCTATCCACAACTTCTCCCCGGCCTACCAGCAGTACACCCAGCAGTCCACACAGGAGGTGGTGCAGCCCAGCACTAACGGAAAAGTGGCCACAGGCAACAAGAGCTCCCGCAAGTCTGATAAAATCATGCTGATTACCTCTGATGATGAGTTCTAGGCATTTTTCAAGCAAGATCCAGGTGTTTGTGTCCTTGCCACCCCTATCTCTGACCCCCTGGGGAAACAGCTGTATCGGATATCGCACAGAACTGGATTGAATCCAGGTGTTTTAATTTTCATTATCCCAGTATTTAAGATGGACTGCTTACTTCCTGTCCTGTTTAATTAATAATTTAAGTACCAAGAGGAGGATGAAATTAATACTCTTTAGAATTGATAGCTCAGTGACCAGAGAACTGATCTGTTTCCATCTCTGCAGTAAAAATCACAGGAAAACGACATGTCACCTTCACTTTATCAGAGAAGTCTGGAGCTATGCATTTTCTGTAAATGAAGCTGCTGGTTGTTCAGCAGTGTCCCTGATCCTGATCCTTATTCTGTTTCTGTCATTATGTCAGTGCTCGGTCTCTGGCCGTCTGAAGTGTGTTCCCTCTGATTCATGTCGGTTTCAAAGAGGAGATGATTAATATGTGACTCCAGGTGGGAGGCAGGGAAGCCGGTGATGGCTGGGAATGACACTTCATGGACTGTCTCTCGCATCTGCTTGTTTGAAGTATTTGCTGAGCATTCCTCTGCATGGTTTCCTGACAAATGGAAAGATTTGTTCAAAGACGGATTCGTTTTGGAGCAGGCACTTCAAACTGCAGACTATAGCACTTCGCAATCCTTTGTATCTACCGTAACATGGACAAATTGGATAAACCTGTCTCCTACAAAGTGGGAGTTGTATTATTCTCATTAATTTTCCCAGCATGCTAAAGAGTGTAATTCAGTGCAACTAGCCAGCAGTTCAACAGACGCTAACAATTAGTCTTTTTGCAGCTTCTGCATCATTGTAAATTCTTTTGGCAGAACCTTTTTATGTTTTCACAGCACAGTTTCTGTTATAAATCCATGTTCCCAGGATTATGAAATATGTACAGAATTTGTTTGGTGTAAATTGTGGTGTTTAATATGTTATACTTGTGTAAAGAATCTCTTTTTATGAATTAGGAAAATGTTAATGTATTTATGTGTAGTTGAGATGTAGCCAGACAAAAACCAAAATCTGTGTGGGGAAAAGAGAAACAGACATAATTGTGTGACTTGGTAGTTTCTTGTCCCACTTTGTTTTTACTGGAAATGTTATCATCTGTGTTAATGTCAGACGGGAGACCTATAGCTTTCCTAATACAGTAGATATTGAAGTTTAGTTTTGTACATCAAGTCATAAGTTGTTTTCATTTTGATACACTCTTGTGCCAATGATGGCTGCCTTTCTGGAAAAGCAAAAAATTAAATAACAGTTGGGTACAAAGTAATATTTGAACGTATATAAAATAGTTGACTTGTGTGTCTTAGTCCTGTGTGGCACTTCTACGAAATTAAATTGTTTTTGCTTGTGTAACTTGAATTTGTTGAACTGAGTAAACCTGCACTTCTCAATGAGGAAAAAAAAGCTTTATTTGAAAGTACAAAAACAGACACAGCAGACCTATTTATAAGAATAATTTACCATACTTTAAATCAGAGCAGAAACAAATACAGATTTTATTTGTACATGAGGGTAGTTCATTGAGAAAACATGTAAAATAAAAATAATTTAGGTGTTTTTTTTTAATAAAATTACACAATTCAATGAAATAAATATAAAATATATATGAGCAGAGTAATGTCAAGTTGTGAAGGGTACGTAATCAGTTTATGCTGCCTTATTACTGTCCTCGTTTACAGTCACTATTTATTGACAGTCACTAATTAAGCCTCAACATGTAACCACAAGACTAGAACAAGGAAATCAATTTATTCTAAAATACAAACATAAAAACTTAATAACATAACGTAATGCATTTCACCCACAACCATAGCATCCACACACATGCTTAGTTCCTTATATTATGGAACTTCTTCTGAATTTATAGTCCAAACCGCTTCAATCTACAATAATAAAACTGACTTTCTACATGGCTAGAATTAAATACTGTAGCTTGTAGGACTGGCAAAGCTGTGTATGAAAGCTTATTTAATCAATGACATGTTTTCAGGAAGAAATTTTAAATTAACCTTGAATACCTAGTCAATACATATGAGCAACCTAATACATTTGCATTGTTATGGTTCATATAAAAATGTAAAATAACTGCTGATATCTGAAAGTTTCTTTACAGCTCCCTAGTATGACATGATTCAGTCACTTCAACTGTGGGTAAGAAGTAAAAAGGCTGCTGAGACCCAGTAAACATCCTTGGAAGGAAATGGTTATGCCTGTTTTCACCCATAACCGTAACTACATTTCTGTATAATGCTCCCTAAAATGATTGACTGAATAACTTTTTGAAGGTCTCCTTTTATTTAAGAAAACAATGTCTTGTAAAAAAAAAACACAACGCAAATACTTGCTTGTGGTACGCTAACCGAAGAGCAACATGTGTTTGAGAGCATGAATGGACCTCTGCTTGGTCACACTGGATGTAGGATTTACAACAAAGTACTTGTTTCACCTGGATAAAGGTTTGTCTTTTAGAAGATACGGAAATATAAACGTTAACATTTTTTATATTATATATCAATATTAATTTAAGGTGTGCTCTCAAAAAGCAACCAACTCATATCCACATTTAATAATAAGTGCTAAAAAAATTTAAATGCTTAATTTTACAGCATTTTATTTTGAAAGTCTATCATAAGAGGTCACTGTAATGGTTTTGTAAGTTAATGTGATGAAAAATGACTTTTGTAAACATGTTGTATGTATGTATCTATATACTCTTCTGACTCAATCTTAACTCAGGCTTATAACAGACCTTAAACTTAAAAGGGCCTTAGTGGACAGGCTTTAGAATTATTTTCTGGTAAGGTTTCCTAGCGGTTATAAAAGCATTACCATCATCAGAACTGACTAGGTTCATGTGTAGGGTAATACTCCAAAATAAGAGCAAATGTTCTCTTTTTCTAAATGAAATATTCTTTATTTGTTATTTCTAAAGCTAATGAGCCCCTGAAGGCCCAACTGAGAACTGAACATGTAGTCAATATTACACCATTTTAAATCTGATCACATCAGACCAATGTGCTCTTGAATTATGTACAATTGTTTTCAATATTTGAGATCACTGAGTCCATGCTAAAGTAAAGTAAAGTAAATGTTTGGCATACATTTCCATCCAAATGATACAGAAATAATTTTGAATGTGTTACCTTTAAATTCCTTTGACATATATATTTTGACTACCAGCCTCTTAATGAATTACATTTTAATTTGTATTGTTTGTTGCGACACTCAGACATTATAACAGATTTACAAATTATGAAGTAAAATATGGCAGATGCCCATGGGGTCTTTCCTAACAATGTGAATCTGCAGTCAGAATGTAATTTCCCAGTTTATAAGCAATTCATTCTTGACTGTTGATAATTAGCTGCAGCCTGTATGTAACCCTAGACACACCCTGTCCAATTTGTGAATTAGACAAATAGTAAATGTGCTGAGAAGAACTATTCATGGGGTATAAATACTCACAAAGAAGACTTAAGTTATGAGAATAGTTTTCTCATTGTAAATGTGAATACAACTTTTTCAGGAAAAGGTCAGCATCAACATAATTAGACTTCAAAGAATGATTACATAATCACACCACTCCCAGGATAGTAAAAGACATAAATATAGAAAAATATGCAATATATATATTTATATATATTTATATACTGTATATGCATACAAAACTAAGTATCAGAAAGAGGACATGGGATGTATCAACATAGAAACCAAGTGAAAATACAAAATGAGAGTAAGAACACAGCAATGCCCCTGCTTAAAAAATCACAGCAGGTTGTACAGCAGCAAAGTTCCCCATACTGTTCTTTGCAGCTATGGAACAGGGGAAGAACAGTCATGTCCTCTTAGCCAAGAGAGAATCCTGACATGAACAATCTCTATTGACTTCACTCCAAATTAGGAATGGATCCTCGGTAAGAACGGCTTGATTTCAAGTTAATTTCATATTTAAATATCTCAAAATGTACAACAGGAGGAAGGCGTTTACTGCATTTAGTTGTCATGACACCACTGTTTCTAGAGATGGGTGTCAGGAGTTCTCTTGCAGAAGAGTGTGTCAAAAGCAAGGTAAATAGCTACTGTATCAGAGTTACCAACACCAGCAGCAGCACTTCTCGTGACCCAGCAGTAGGAATGATTTCTATTTGGACGGAGTTCTCAATGTAAAGTGACAACGGAGGCAGTGAGAGCTTTGTCATTTCGGTAGTCTGTAATATACAGGAAGTAAGTTGAATTGCATTTCACTTGTAAGGACCTCTCTCATTATCACTATATCCAATATGGATTACCTACCAAAGAGTGGCATATATAAGAAAAGAGGCAAAACATCACCCAATCAGTGCTGCAGCATACATAGACAGTATACCATCCTTAGTTACAATAGGCTTGACCTTGCAGTAAGTGGTCACACCACATTGAATCATCATGCAATTAAGCCCCAGTAACTTAAACAAGGCAAGAACAGTTTTTCTTCGTCATCTTCTGCAATTCTAGGGATGAGTTGCCCTGTGAATTATTTTCTCTTATACTGTATCTTAACAGTTTCCTTTTAAGTGCTATGTAATGATAGGCACTGGGCAATGTCAAATCTTATGAATCCAAACAAATATGGCCCAAAATGCTCCTTAATATTTTTCTAATTTAACATTCCCAAATCTACCTATTTTAACAAGTAGAATTCCTAATATGTGGAAAACAGCTCTTTCAAAATATTAGAAGCATACATTTTGAAAAATATCTTATATTCAAATATTCAAAAGGGCCACAAAGACGCAAACAGGATCACTTGCAGCGCCTGACCAACACCCTGTCTTCAGAAACATGGCTAACTGTAACTGTACACTGTATCACTTTTCAGTCCCACTGACAAATCATTTCTCAACCAAAATACTAGCATCAAGCATTTCTTGGATTAGTTGCCAATAGGAGAGAAAAGGACATACATTGCTATCTATAGTAATATTTTACAAGGGGAGACAATATAGCCCAGCAAGGGCTTGCATACAAATTCTGGCCTAATGGTTGAGTTTTAAACTCTTCAAACACAAATGAAAAATATTACTTCAAAACTGCCAAATTAGACCACCATAAGTACATGTATGGAAGCCCCTAATGGAGTGTACTGACTGCTGTTCTCTAGTATTACTTCCTAAATATGAAATTAGCTATTTGGCTATTTAACTGACCACCAAGTACAACTTTGCATAACTAAAACAGAAATATATTAACAACTGCGCATCACAAATGGAGACCTTTAGCTAAACATTGGTCAGTTATCAAACTGGATAATGCAGTACTCTCCAAACAGGCCACAGACAGCCATGTGTTGGCAGGTTTTCACTCCAACCAAATTCAACAACAGGTGTTTTTTGCTTAGCAAAAAGACAAGAGATACTAATCAGTGAAAACATCTGTTGTTGTGTTTGGCTGGCACTTAAAGGCAACTGGTTTGAAACCACTGGTAACCTCAAAGCTGGAACGATAAATCATCTTGTGTTAAACTACATGCAATTATTAGATAATAATTTATATAGATCACTCACTGATCCTTTTAAGGCAAGAGCTTCAAAGGCTCAATTTACATTGAGACACAAGAAAATGTGATTTGGCATAGGCTTCACAGATAGCTTTACTGTCAAATATGTACTACTTAAATCTCTTATTTTATACTTAATAGCATTAAGTATAAGTGCTGTCCTAGGCCAGTGCGGCCACAGTAAGGCATGTCAAATACTTTTTCACACTGGAGTAAAAGCAAATCTCTGCTATCAGTCATTTTGGAAGGGTCACAGAGGTCCAATACCCTGCCGGTGCTGGGGGTCGGGAAGGGGCGGGGGGGTTTGCACAGTGCACAGACAACGTATATTGTGTAAGAGAGACAGAAGGAGGGAGACAGAGTTGTGAATGCAGCATAACATCAAATAGAGCTTTTGCCACCCCATTCCATCCCTCAGTCTAACTACTGAGCATCCTCTCAGTACAGGATGAGTGGGTTCAGGCTGGGTCAGAACCGGGAAGGACCAGGCAGGAGAAGGAGAGCCCAGTCCTGTCAACACTAGGAGGGAGCTGAGAACGGGGTCGGGCTGGAGTTGTTGTGGTTGGCGGACTTGACGATGGTGATAACGCTGGTGGTGGCCACCTTTCCCGGCGAGAGGGGCCCGCGGGTCACAGTCCGGGCAAAACATTGCAGGGCCTCATACTTGGCTCGCAGGGCATCCAGCTCCAACCTCATGCTGGCATTCTCACGTGCCAGCTTGTCCACCTCTTGCTGCAGCTCTATCTTTTGTCTCTCCAGCTCCTCCTTCTGGGTGACACGTTTGATGCGGCAGCTGGCGGCGTAGCCCCGGTTTTTCAGGGTCCGTCGCCGCTGCTTCAATCGCACAACATCCTCTTTGGTCAACCCACGCAGGTGCTGGTTGAGCTCCCGCACGGACATGGCTACCAACTCATCATCACTGAGCGCCGGGGCATTTTCGCCAGTCTCCCTCTTGACCTGCATGACATGAGCAGTGAATGAAGAACAGCACTATGTCTGGATATACTGTAAATCCAATGAAATGCTTCTCAAACTTCTCACTTACCTTTAAAGCTTTGCTCGTCTTAAAATGAGTCGTCATTCCCTGCATACAGACAACTGTCCAGAATCTCACAGAAGACACACTGAGAAGTGGAAAAAAAACAGTGTAAGTAGTTTGCTGAAATGAAATAAAACAACATTAACAGTGGTGGAAAGTACTTTACTTAAATAAGTGCAAGTATCTCTAAATTGTAGTATTTCTATTTTATACTACTTTATGCTACTTTATGCTTTTCAATCCACCACATTTATTTGACAGCTTTAGCTACAAGTTACTTTATAGATTAAGATTTTATGTACAAAACACATGATAAGTTAAAATATATTGCATTACAGAAGATCCTACCAAAAGCTTATAATGTAGTTTAAATTGGCTCCCTGCTAACCAGTTACAACATTAAAATGCTGCTTATATCTTAATGCATCACTAATAATAATGCAATATGATATGTAATAATATGTCACTGACAGGTGCCATTTGGCTGTACAGTTAGTACTTTTACTTCTGATATTTGAAATGCTTGAGAATACTTATGTATTGTATGCATGTTCATTTTAATACAGCATTGAGTAATGAAATCTTTTTAAATTGTGGGCTTCAGATCTAAATGCATCTGCTACCAGCACATACCTTTGTATGTTGCAGATACTGCATGTACTGCAGTATGACATAATATTGGCACTCCTCCCAGTAAATCTACTTTACAGCAGACATTACAGCAACATTCCAGTGTTGCATCAGTGTATCAATATTTATGTTTACGTCATATTTCCACATATGCCAGCAGAGGGCAGCATGACACCATGAAACACCAGAAATGGAGCCGCCTGTATTTATTTGTGGGAGAAGGAGGGCCTTGACAATGTAGTTCACTAGACCAAGCAAGATTAGAAACAGGCAACCACTCTTCCTCTTCTCTCTTCATAGAACTTTACGTTTAAGCTTTCTGCTCTCGGCTCTCTTTTGAGAAAAGCCTCTCTGTACTCATTACAGTGAGGCACATGCTTTTCAGACTGCTGCCATAGCCAAAGAAAGCGAGAGCGCTGAGGTGTGATCCTGTGAGAGGCACACATCCCCCAAGGCTCCATTTCAGGACCTGCAGACCAGCCTGACTACGAGTGCACTGTTCCATGCTCGACTGCTACCATGGAAACGCCCTGCAAATGGGCGTGGGAGTGTGAGTCACATGGTCACCAAAAGGGTAAACAAGTCTCATTCATAACCGCAACACAGCCTATACATAGTACAAATCAGAAGCAACTTGTGCTGATAACTTAAAGGGATCCTGTGTCAAAAATTCCTCAATTTGTCGATGAGATTTCTCTTTATCTTGTTAACTTCCCTTAAATCCAATCTTGTGTAGATTGTTTATTCCCCTAATCTGATGTCTCTGGGTCTACAGGGACACAGTAAGTCCACTTTCCCTCCCTGTCAGACATTAAAACAGACCATCACATCAGCATAACATTTACAGTTATGCTGAACTTTACAGGGCAGTTAGATACGCATGTGGAAAATTCCTGGAGATAGAGTGTCACAGAGAAATAGTTTCCTTTATAGTCACTGATGTATTTTAGCTGTGAGACAATGTAGTCCATCGATTTAGCGCTGTGTCTCGCTGGTTAGATCCTCTTACACTGGGCTTTCCTGAGCTGCTCTATGCCCTTATTTAACTCTGGCGGATATATTTAGCTCACAGTGCTGACACAAATTTCTGCCAACTAAACAATTTAAGTGAGTGTGCGATAAGTGATACCTCAGTAAGAGGGCAAATATTCTCTGCAGTCCTGTCAGCTGTAGCTTCCATGGAAGAAAATAATCTGGGTGTGGCTGCTCTTTTTGGGATGTTTAGCACGTTTTCACATGCTATGGATATATTGCTAATAAAGCTCTTTGCAACTGTTGATTTACGGTTGCTGATTGCAAAAGAAATTAGCGCAGTCGACATAAAAAACTTGTTGTTGTTACTCTGTCTTTAATACGACCTGAACATTAGTCACTGCTCTTATTATAGCTTTTGTGTTTTTGTTGCAAGCAGATGAACCTCAAAGAAACCTGTTTAGAGATTTAGAGAACAGCTGCTGCTCTCTCTGAGTTCCTTCATTCATTTTGCAAAACAAGCAGCAAAGAATTGCGTAATTGCGATTTCAGAAGCATCAAATAAAGATGAAGAACTAAAATACAACATTCCTCGACATTGCCTAAACAGCCTAATTTTAAGTAGTATTGCGTCAGAGGGGGTCCCTGGGTATATTCCTTGCAAAGATTGTGGAAAAGTGGTGTGGGGCCTCTCTCTCTTTATACAAGAGGCCTTCAGCTTGAACCAAGAGGGCAGGTTGTTTCCCTGAAATTCTTTAGGCATGTGCTTATGTTTCTGCAACTCGCAGAGGGACATGGTTTTCCTGATCAAGATGCCAAAATTTCCTCAGAGGAAAAACAGCTATTATATCACACAGCCAAATCCACTCTTTAGAGAGGAGACAGGCATATTGCACAACAAATCATGGCTTCTTGCCATAGTCAAGAAAACAACTCACATTAGGTTTTTCATAACAGTCAGAAAAGGACTCTGGGAAAATACCTCAAAGAAAAGCCACAGATGGCGGGTAAAGAACAAAAACCACATTCCTGAGTGAACACACATGTGCAAACCTTCACATGTGCAACTCTTTACTGGAGAGGGAGCATTCAGTTTGAATATGTCCTGCGATGCACTCAGCTATGGGGGTGGAGTTCAGACAATCCCACTTGTAAAACAACGGCTGCAAAATTCACAAAATGTCTGGAATTCAAAAGTGTCTCACATCTTTCACTTGCCCAAACAAATCAAAGGCAGCCTGTGTGCACATGTGTGGAAGTCAGGAGTCCACTATCTTCCTTTGTGCCAGTAAACAAAAAGGTCTATTTTCATTTAATTTCCTAACTTTCTCAAACAACAGATAACATGTAATTCCTCAAGATAATCGTCTGATCACTAATAACTACAACTGCACTCATTCATGACTACATGTCACAAAAATGCAGATTAGAGCCAATGGATGACAA